TGCTCATAGTGCGTTATTGCCTCCCTGGATAAATCAAAAAACGTCACACTACATTAAATGCTTGCAAACTGCAAAAAGAAAATATCCAGAAGCTCATACAAAATAACAAATTTTACAAGAATTGGTCAATACATCTAGTATTATGGACAAAATTCAGTACGAAGATGAATTCAGAAAGGAAGATCAACCTCCAATTTTTCAATTACTTTAAAGCCTTTAGAAAATCAAATTTACCACCCAAAATTTTTTACAACGAGTTCACTGCTGATTCTGACAAAGATAAAGCAGATTTATTTGCAAAGTTCTTTTCTTCGGTTTATAGTAAATGCAGTTCATTCGAGTTTTCTCGCAATTTGTCTGCTGATATGCCAGTTTTAATGGAAGTAAGCATCGAAGCAAAAGAAGTAATGGAAATTTGTAATAACTTACATGTTAAGAAAAGTAAAGGACCAGATGAATTACCACCTTTTTTGTTTCACAAACTCTCTATTTCTCTATCCCCTTGTTTTACACAGATATATCGAAAAATTTTGCAAACCGGCGAATATCCAAAAATTTGGAAAGTTTCAAGTGTCTGCTCTCCATAAAAAGAACGACAAATGCGATGTATCAAATTACCGCCCAGTGTCTCTTCTATCGATCCCTTCCAAAATTCTTGAACAGATTTTGTTCATTGGGTTATTCACATTTTTTACACAGCTCACAGTTTGGGTTTAGAATCGAAATTAAAATAACAAGTGGAGTACCTCAGGGGAGCATTATTGCGCCATTACTTTTCCTTGTTTTTGTGAACTATTTGCCTTCAAAATGCGAAAGTCTTTTCCCTCTTATGTTTGCTGATGATGCGAAATTTATAAGCATTGGAACAGAACCCAATTTGGTACAAAAAGATTTAAACGCACTTTTGAAATGGACTGAAACAAATTACATGCCTTTCAAAATGGATAAATGTGCTCATGTTTCTATCAACAGTAATGAAAATAATTTTTATTTTGGAAATCACGTGATCGAAAAAAAGTTAACGCAATCAGATTTAGGTTTGATACTTTCGAGTGACCTTAAATGTGACCAACACATCGAAAAAGCCTGTAAGAAGGCAATAAAAATTTTCTTCATGAGCAAACGTAACGTTTCAAATATATATTGGACAACGAAGCTCAATCTGTATAAGTTAATGATAGTGCCAATATTAGTTTACGGAAGTCCTTGCTATGGGTTGAGCAAAAACATAATGGTATGATAGAAAATGTACAGAAGCGCATCGTTAAGTGGATATCACCAATTGGCGGAAGCTAAAAAGCTTGTCTCGAGTTTTTGGGAATATCACCGCTCCCTATGTACTTTCAAGTAAACCACCTTTTGTTATTGTCCAAACTGATTTTGGGTTGATATGATAACGAACTAATTGACATGCCTTTCTACACAGATTCCTCGCGCTGTAATCTGCTTCAGCTGCAGAGACCAAAAAAGAGAATCTTGGAAGAAAATTTCTTTTGTCAGACATGCAGACTAGGAAATTTTGTAAAAATTGATCTGCGTCAGAAAACTGGACTGAAGGAATCGATATTACGTGTTTTCTGGTGAAGATTTGAAGAATATGAAGAGTTGAATAAATGCAAGTGGAGAGTTGGCTGTGACTGCTTGATAAATAACTGCAGAAACAAGACTAATATATAGGACTCGCAAACTGACTGGGGTGATAGCCCCTTGTGCTGACCATCACAGAAGCCATACTACTACTACTACTACTACTACTACTACTACTACTACCACTTCTACTACTACTAATACTGCTACTACTACTACTACTACTACTACTACTACTATTATTACTACTACTACTACTACTACTACTACTACTACTACTACTGCAACACCATCACACTGAGCTAAAATTTTATAATCTGTATCTTTGGAAATCATAATTTTCAAAAAAAAACCATCACCAATACGTAATTTGTGGCACAAATAATTCACGCGTCACAAAGATCTCTAAGTGCTATCAATGCTGTCGGAAATTTAAACACAGATGCGAAGCAGAGCATTGGAACGTTAAGATGCAAAAAAAATTGAGCTACAAAATTGTGAATAACAAACAGAAATCAAAGAAAAAATCTGAAAAATGTTGAAAAAAATTACTTGAAAAATCACTTGACAAAAGTTTAAGAAAATACGTCTACAAAGAAGTGAAAATTTTTATCGGATGAATTTCCTAAGCAGCCTCTTAGAAAAGAAATCCTTTAACCAGCGGCAGCAAAAGCGATAAGCTTTGGATCGAAACCTGTTGAGCCGAAAACAAAACGGCTGTTTTCAAAAATTTCATAAAATTTCAAAAGTTTTCACGGTCCACCCAAACTGAAATTTGTAATCCGAAACGAATATATTACGCAAAATAATTTCAATAATTTGATATAACATAAACTCATAAACTGGAACTGTTTGAACCTTTGTAAAGAAAATTTCGTGTCTAGAAAACGGAAAATGAATAGACAGAAACTAAGACGAAAACCATGAACCCGAAAATAGTTGAGAAAACTTTTAGAACTGCTTTTGAGAAAAATATTGATTTAATACACAGAGGTAAAGCGATGCTACGTGTCACTTGTGATACAATGCAAGTGCACCATTGCATTGAAAGCTAGCGAGAAATGACACGAAAATACAAAAAGTCGAAAAAAATTGAAAAACAATAGAAATATCAGAAAAACTGTAAAAAACACAAAAACAAAATCGAAAAATTTGAAATTATTTTGCTGTTTTAAGTTTTTACCTATCGAGCACCAAGCCGAAATAGTTGATAACTCACATTGAGCTGAGAGCAATAACCAAAAGTAGTCAACAAAGTGCGCAATAACCAAAAGTAGTCAACAAAATTCTGAGATTTCAAACTTTGAAATAAAACAAAGTACCTGAATTTTTCAATTAGGTCAATCATTTTTCTGCCATTAATTTTTAACAACCCAAGTTTAAGTAACTATGCCAATAAAACCAACAGACCAAAACCATATAGGCCGAATAAAATTAATAGGCTAAAAAAAGAAAACCAAGGAAATTGAACGTCAAGGCTTTTAACTTTACAAATTACAGTATATCAAAACAAATTTTTTCATCAAATTACCCGGTGTGACAACTAAGCCAACAAAAAGTAAGCAGTCTAACCAAAGTGGACAAATCAGTTTTTTCGGACTTTTTTGTTAATTTTCAAGCTAAAAAAGCTGTCGAAGCCCAGACCTTGGGGTACAAAAACAACCACGTTACCTTGAGGCTTAGCTTAAAATTTTCTAAAAGGTTGCTAAATTTTACTATCAATGGGACTTCACAGATCACCATAAAATGACATTTGTTCTCGCGACTGTAATTACCAGAAAAGAGTTTTGTTTGAAATTGATAGACTTTTATAATTGAATCGTTCAGGTAATCTAAAGAAAAAATTGTGTCAAACAAATGAATCAATTTTTGAATAATGCATGAGCAAACAAGTGAAAAGGAAAACAGTGATCAATTGTAATATGGATGGGACACAAACTTCTCACACACAAACTCCTGTCAAAATCCTGATTATAATCACTTAGCTTCAATTTCAAAAATTGCAAAAAACAAGAAGGGCAGAATGAAAAAAATTTTGCGGAAAGCTGTATTATTTCATTTTCTTGAATCAAAATTTACCTTAGAATTGTTTTAAAGATTTTCTGAACCAAAAAAAAAATGTTTTACGAAAATTCCAGATTTCCATGAAATTTATCAAATGAACTTGCTGATGTGCTCCTAAGAATTATGAATTAGTAAACAATTTCTATTGTTTTTTTGTTTCAGTATAACTTCAGGGCTAAATACTTGTTCTGCAAAATTTTAGTCGTTGTTGTTAACAAACGAAATAAAAGAAGAATAGCATAATTAAAAGTATATGCCTCTTTGAACAAGAAATACTTCACCAGAAAAATCAGCTTTTGCACTAAAAATCTGAAACCTACAAATTCAATAGTAACAATTTCAAAATTAAGAGTTTACATCTTCAAAGTAGAAAACAAATTCTTTCTGACCAATTTTACAAAAACAAAGTTTTCGAACGGAAAAATTGCTTTTTCTAACAAAATAACCAACCATTTAGGATAAAGATAATATTTAAACTTGAAGCCCAAAACCATTTCATAGAAAACTTTTTCTCTATTGCATTTTGATAGCAAAAAAACTGAATTTTCTGGTTTCAAGTCTTATTTTTCTAATTGTTATTTGCGTTACAAAAAGTACACAACTACAAAAGCAACCGTGAGTTTTTAATAGATACATAATTCACATCTTGGACGTCATAGAAGCAATTTTTTTTAGAAGTCTAATGGCGCTTCTTTTGTTTTTTTTAAACAATCAAATACTGTTTTTTTGGTAATAAAGTTTCACTAAGCTTGGTTAGAAGCTGCTCTTTTTGGCCACATATTTTGACAACATTACCAACAGGCTCGCCATTTAGGGCAATTTTCCGTTGAAGACAAACCCTTTTGGATTTTTTTTCTGTTCCGACTGAATTGAATCCTTCCTTCGCCTGAAACCACACCGTTTGAGGGCGGCTCGTATTTGCATATCGAATAGCATAAGCGGCTAAAAAACAAAAAAAAACTTCGACCATCGCCAAAAACCAGACAACCTCATGCTCAGAAAAACAACTAACTAATCTACTTTTGAATTTACATTACGAGGCCAAACTGTGCTTTTTGTGCATTGTCAGCGGATTCCGCAACAAGGACGCTCCCTTTGTTCTTCTTTTGTTCTTAAATTTCCTTTGATCTTTCCGACAAAGTTTTAACATGTTTAAAGACTTATCTCTGGAATCCAGGAACATACAGACACAAAATTGTGCGCCTATCCAGTGCACAGTTTGGCCTCGTAATGTTTTGATTCGAGTCGGTGACGGGAAATCTTTTTGGGTATTTACATCAATTCTGCCAGGTTCCAAAACAAATTGCTCGAGTTCTTCACTAGTGAACAAAGCAATTGCCACTGCTCGCCCCCATAGTTCCGGAGTATTTGCTTTTAGAGTGACCAAATTAACATTATCATGAACGACTGCTTCGAAGTTGTCTAGTAGTTCCCCCGGAGCATGCTGAGTTGCGTATCCCATTCTTTCGCATGACTCGGCCTGAACAAAAACAAAGAGCCCTTGTTTACAGAGCATCAGTTTCTAGTGACTCAGTTATAAGGATCCAATTACGCATATGTTTAACTCTAACGCACATGTTATGCACCTACAGTTTGATCCATACATATACACTTGAATAAATATGGGCTCATAAAAACAAACAGGTCAGTTAGCGGAAAGTTTTTCCTCTTGAGGCATGAAATGTGTCAGCCAATTTCAAACGTTCAGAAATTATGTTAACTGGAAGCAAAACAGTTTCGTAAACTACCATTGCTTACTTCACTCTTATGCAAGTAGCAAAGAAAGCTCACGAGGGTCGTTTCCCGGGAAAACACAATTGAAACAGCCCACTGGCACTTGGAAAAAAGTAATGAACGGAAGAAAGCAGAAGAAACACTGACTTAAATGTTTTGAAAAAATCACTTTCGAATTTAAAAAATATGCCTTTAAAGCTCTTTGAATCAAAAGAACAGTTTAAGGTTAGTGCTTTTTTTTGGTTAAATTAACTCAAAACGAAAAAACTGGATCTTTCGAGATGAAATTTATTTCGCTGCGTTATCTATAAACTAAACTTGTTCGAAACTACCTTTTTTCCGCCATTTTCATATTCGTATTTAGAGAGTGCGATAAAAAAAACAATGACAAAAACAGAAACAAAAAAATTACCAAGAATAACTATGTAAAAGTCGCTAAGTTGATTACTCTTAAAAATTCCTGATTACGACTTGATAACGCTTCCTAGTTACAAGCGTAAAAAAAGCAGATTTTGAGAAATTGATAAATTGACGAATAGATTTTAAAAAAAAACTAAAATATCAAAAAAGCAGTAATTAAAAGTGCTGATTTGGAGTAAAGTTTTTTAGGTAAGACCATTGATTAAATACAAGTTTTGACCAAACTAGAAACAGTTATGCTGGTGTCCCCACGATACGAAATTCTATTAGACATCTCCGAAAAGTGAAAGCAATCCAAGTGGATAGTTCGCATAATTAAAGCTGAATAAAAAATAAAAATCTACTTGCGGAAACTTAACTTCAGAGACATTTTCTGATGAAGTTAATTCAACATTTGCCAAAATGACCAAAGGCGTTATCAAAAATGACATACAGTTCATCACACTTGTTAGATTTTTCCGACAGCTAAAATGTGTATTTGAAACGAAAGGATTGCATACCACGAATATTAAACAATAATCAGAATCAGATCAATTATGTACGACCAGTTATAAATGATTTGCTGTTAACTCCTAATACAAAATAGAGGAAACAAGCATCTAAAGGTTTCAAGCACTGAATTTTGGTAATGCTGCCTTGGTAACGTTTAATTTTTCTGATCTTGTTAGGTTCATGAATTCAAAAAACCCTCTTCGATAAAAAATAATAATTGGAGGGATGTGATTTAAAAAATAACCGTAACAAATTACAGTCATGCCAATGCATTTACACCTCACATGCCACACATTTACATATCACTTTCGTTCAGTATGTTTAAAAAATTAGTGCAATTTTTGATCACTAAGGCAATACTTGAAAAATCATGCTTTATTTGGAAAACTAGTGCTTAATTTGAAACGTGTGCGCAAACTTTTTCTTGAAACAACCGACCAAAACACTTTAGAAAGAAAAGAATTGTGTAAGCAACAAAACGCAGACATTTAAAATTTTTGAAAAGTCCGTTTTTTCTTCAATTTTTTGGCATGTTTTTTAAGTACATCTGCAACAGCTCACATTGCATCTCAAAATTTTTTCACATCTCGAGACTGTGTGTCTCAATATTGTCACAAAGTTTCTCGGTGCAATATAACTTTTTTGCTTATCTACTATACTAACTACTTTTTTTTTATCAATTGAAACAACCAATTGGCTCCAACAACAATTCAGTTCCCTAAATCAAGGGCTAGAAAATCTTCTAGAAAAATCAATGGCTAGAAAAATCAATGGTCTAGAAGGTAGGGAATGATATTCATGTTTTTAAAATAATGAATGTAGTGAAGACTCCTATACAGGTTTTGCTGATTTTTTTTTCAGGTAAAGCCTTAAAAGTCTCTAAAAAGTACATATGTACATTCAAACATGTTTATTGCATTTATGAATGGAATTGGGTATTTAGGCACTTTTTGGCTTCAATTGAAATTCATTTGCTGAAAGTGACGTAAATAGCACTCTCCAAGCACGAACGCGGAAATGGCGCGAAAAAAGGTGAACGATTTCTAGCTTCGAAAGTGGAATTTAACTTTTATAGAGTTCCAGCGTGATAAAAAGTTTACCTATTGATCCAGTTTTCTCCAGTTGGGGTATCGTTATCAAAAATATTCAATCACAAACTGTAGTAAAAATTCAAAGAGCTTAAAGGACAACTATTTTCTCATTGAAAATCGAGCAAAAAATATGGCAGCGTATCTCATTCATTGCATTTTAACTTCGGTTGCATCAAATTTGCAATCGTTGTTTTGTGAACTTCTCTGTATGACAAAAGTGTTCTAAACCATAAAGTGTTCGAGGTCGCAGTGTTTTGAGGTTTGGATTTAGTCTGAAAATATGATTTAGACAATTATGAGAAACAATCCAATAAGAAAAAAAGCATCATGGTCGTTTTCCATGCAATTTTTTTTCTTTATTCTTATAAAGGCAATAAAAATGAGCGGGCACCTCTGTATTTTACAACCCCAACAGACATATCCTTTGGTTTTGACGTAGACGTGGTATTTGAGACACTAGCTACGCATTTAATTCCGTCTACTGGTATTGTGTCTTTGAAGTTATCAAAGTACAATTGTCCTTGACTAAAGTCAGGCGGAACGAAAATGAGGAACTGAATGATGATCGTCAGTAGTCTATACCACAATATGCTTGGTCCTTATATTTTCGAATAAGGATCTGCGCTCATGAAAATTTAAGGGAAAAGTCTCTGGAGGTTAAATGATGGTCATTACGGGATGGGAGGGATGATACCAAGCGCCAATCAATTAGCTTGATCAAAGCTTGATTAATTCACTCTCCATTGCTGGTGTGGTGGTAGTGAGTTGACCACCTAGGATCGAGGACGTAATGAATGAACTATGCACCATATTATCATCATGTTAGAAATCATTTGGATAATACTAATTAAAGACCTGTCAATCATGTCGATTGTTCTAACAGCTTGGTGGTGCTAAAAACGAAGACTCACTCTTCGTTAGCTATTGCAAGATTATAGTTACCTTCTATTCGATGATCCATATCTACTTATTTAACTTTACTATTAATTCAATGATACATTATCCTAGTTTTCAGATAAGATTTAGGGATTATCTCATGGCGCAGCCAGCAGTTTCTTCTTCTGAAGATAGGACGGAACTGCTAAGAGTCCCATCATTCTGGGGTAAACCATCAGCCGAACCTCCTTATCCTTGGGAGGTGTGGATAGGTCAATTCTTTCTCGCCGTATCACTCAAGGAGAATTGTGACCCGAATATCCTACTTTCAGACCCGGCAACGGTACATGACGACCCCCCACCAAAACTTGAACCAACTCCAAGTTCAGAAACGGCGGAAGAAGCCGATAGCAGAACCGCAAGAAACGAAGCGGCACTCAGGAAAACAAATGAAGCGAACGAAGAACGACTAAAGAAGGGACCCAAAATAAGTTCAAATGTATTCTATCACGAAGCAGATGCACGGATAAAATCGAGGCTATTCTTCGCCTTGGGAAACGAAGGGAAAAAAAGATTCCTACAACAACACGCACATGTCAATCTCAATAGAGTAAAATTCAATTTTTTTCACGACGCTTGTGAATATCTATTCAAATGTGAAACGAATTGTATCATCGAAAGGATGCAAATCTACAACGCATCACATGGTCTCGAATCGTTTTACCTTCGCCTAGCAGGACAAACTTCAAAATGTGGATGAACAGAGGACAGAGAAAAGGAAGTCACCCGCGACATATTCATCGAAAAATTGGATTCTCTGACATACAAAGAGAACTTTGCATCAGACCAGGAGCTACACTAGACGATACCTTTAAATCGGCATTGCTACAGGAGAAGGGATACTTAACAGCAAACAATCTCCAAAAGCAGAACCCGTCTACAGCGATCAATTCAGCGAACTTCATAAACTCATCATCTAAACAACTTCGGGTTAAACAAGAACCACTGATGTCCATCCAATCAAACAACGATGTCCAAAACAGAATGAACAGAGCGCTAGGGAAAGGAAATTTTAAACCCAAGAACCAACAAGACCAGTCGAACACTCAATCCAAATCATGTTGTTTCTGTGAAAGAAGATTTACACCTGAACACAAGGCCAAATGCCAAGCAAGATGAGCAACATGTAGAAGCTGTGGAAAAAAGGGACCCTTCGCTAAATGCTGCAACAATACTCAAGCTGCTAATGTCGAATAACCAGAACCGGACGAAGAAGAGAATTGCATCTTCATAGACTGAGACAGCGAAGAAAAGTATTCAGTTCTAAAGATCTCGGAAACATCATTACAAACGGAAACGGTCAAGAATTTAGAAGTAATCAACTCTGCAACCGGGAAAACTAAGTGTCTTAGAAAAACGCTAAAAACAAGAGGCTCATTATTCAACGCCACTTTTGACACTGGATTTCCAGCATCATTTGTAAACAAACGCACAGCAGAAACTGTTTTAGCGAAGGATCCCAATGCAAAGATTACATCTCTAGATAAGAATCCGTTAACCACAACGTACTTCGACTACAACCACAAACCGATAAAACTCTTCGGAATACTAGAAATCGATATCTAATCAAATGGTTGGAAACTAGACGGCGCAAAATTTTTAACCCGAGAATAGAACCAGATGTCTATTAGGTTTAGATATCCAACCAGAACTGGGGATAGTAACAACTCAACTCAAACCTCCCCAAGTTTCAGTAAACACAATCTCAGAAGAGCAAGAAGATGAATCAGCCGAATCAATTTTCTGGAAGAACAAATTTATTAAGAAATACAACGACGTATTCCAAAAACTGGGGCGCTCAAAGAAC